TATATATATATATATATATATATATATATATATGACGCACACCCGCGGCCCCTTCCTTCGAAGACCATTTTAAAGATAAACCTCTAGATGTTGGTCCAATTCCGAGCTATCCTCGAATATTAAAAAAATAGTATAAAAAAAAGTCCTTTTTACTTTTTTTTTTAAAGATTTGTAATCATATTTTCCACTACGATTTTTTATTTTTTTTTCCTCCTCCCCCTGTTTCCTGTCTTTCGCTGTTTTTTTTTTTTTGGTTTTAGTATTAGTAGTTAAATAGTCGAATGCACTCGTGCACTATCTCTCTCTCTCTCTCTCTCTCTCTCTCTCTCTCTCTCTCTCTCTTTTTTTCTCTCTTTCTCTTTCACACTCTCTCTCTTTCACACTTTCTCTTTTTCTCATGCGCACCCACCCTCGCTCTAGTTGGTCCACACAACCACTCCCATACACTTTGGAATATAACGCACAAACGGGATTAAGTAATTGAAACTCTCGATGTGTATTTCGGTAATGAAACACCGAATACACGTCGGGATATAATATGTTAGATCAAGAAAAATGACTAAGTAAAATCCCGAAAATCCCGAAGTGTATTTCGGTAACGAAACACCAAATACACGTCGGGATATAATATACCAGATCGAAAAAAAAAATAACTAACTAAAATCCCGAAAATCCCAAAGTGTTTTTCGGTAGCGAAACACCGAATACACGTCGGGATATAATATTCCAAATCAAGAAAAATGACCAAGTAAATCCAGAAAATCCCGAAGTATATTTCGGTAACGAAACATCGAATACACGTCGGGATGTAGTATGCTAGATCAAGAAAAATGACTAAGTAAAATCCTGAAAATACCGAAGCGTATTTCGGTAACAAAATCCTAAATACACGTCGGGATATAATATGCTGGATAAAGAACAATGACTAAGTTAATCCCGAAAATCCCGAAGTGTATTTCGGTAAGGAAACATCGAATACACGTCGGGATATAATATGCCAGATCGAAAAAAATAACTAAGTAAGATCTCGAAAATCCCGAAGTGTTTTTCGGTAACGAAACACCGAATACACGTTGGGATACAATATGTCAGATCAAAAAAAATGACTAAGTAAGATCCCGAAAATCCCGAAGTGTATTTCGGTAACGAAATCCCGAATACACGTCGGGATATTATACGCTAGATAAAAAAAAATGACTAAGTAAAATCCAAAAAATCCCGAAGTGTATTTCGGTAACGAAACACCGAATACACGTCGGGACGAAAATCCCGAAGTGTATTTCGATAATGAAACACCGAATACACGTTGGGATATAATATGCCAAGTGTATTTCGATAATGAAACACCGAATACACGTTGGGATATAATATGCCAGATCGAAAAAAATGACTAAGTCAAATCCCAAAAATCCTGAAGTGTATTTCGGTAACGAAACACCGAATACACGTCGGGATATAACATTCGTGATCAAGAAAAATGACCAAGTAAATCCCGAAAAACCCGAAGTGTATTTCGGTAACGAAACACTTAATACACGTCGGGATTTAATATGCCAGATCGAAAAAATGACCAAGTAAAATCCCGAAAATCCCGCAGTGTATTTCGGTAACGAAACACCGAATACACGTCGGGATACAATATGTCAGATCAAGAAAAATGACTAAGTAAAATCCTTCAAATCCCCAAGTGTGTTTCGGTAACGAAATCCAGATTACACGTTTAGATATAATACGCTAGATCCAGAAAAATGACTAAGTAAAATTCAGAAAATCCCGAAGTGTATTTCGGTAACGAAACACCGAATATACGTCGGGATACAATATGTCAGATCAAGAAAAATTACTTAGTAAAATCCCGAAAATCCCGAAGTGT